CACAGCTCCAACTATCACACCTTGCATAGTAGATCATATGGTTGTCTGATTCAAAATGGCCAAAACTGATCCATTTCAGTTCACTAATGCCAAGGATTATCAATCTTTATGCGTTCCATTTCATTTTTGACAACTTCCAATTTTCCTAGATTCATACTTCATACATTCCATGTTTCAATTATTAATGGATATTTGCATCTGTTTCTCCTCAATTTGAGTCAAGGCACATTAGTAAATGGAGGTCTCAAAGGCTTTACTTTATCCATATCAGTAAAGTTGGTTGTACTCTGATGATGCAGCTTTTTCCCAGTCGTATTTTGAGAGCTTACTGACCTAAGAGGCTCGTTCTCCTGCACTGTATCGCACAATGTTTCTGGGCTATTCATCAAGTTGGGCAGCAATGTATCAGACAGTGTTTCTCTGCTATTGACAAGCCAATTCTTTGAGAAGTATATAGCCTCTTCCTTCTTCCTAGTCCTTCTCAGTCTGTAAGATGCATTGAATCCTGTGCACCATGTGCAACCCCACTGTGTTTGAAACACTGGTGACACAGCCTCAAGCCTCACAGCAACACACAAGCCACCACAATATGACAAACTGACAGACAAGTTTGTCTCCCTCAGCTGTTTGAAACCTCTACTTCCTGCCTCTTGTGGCTGGGGTCTGTGTCCCTCCCCTTACCTGAGATCCCTGCCGCTGCTCTGTCTGTGGTCCCCCAGCTTTTCTTTACCCTACTTCCTGCCTCTTAATAGTATCCTGAGGGTTTGATGAGAAAATAGTTTCCAAGAAACTGGACTCCCACACATGCTGTAAAACCAAGTTGTATTAATACCATCTGAAGAGAAACCACTGGAGAGATGCTTCAATTACAAAAGAAATATATCTAGTTAACAACAAAACTTAAGTATATGTGAAAGAAAATACCACAGAAGCATGTAAACAGAACCATGTAACACCTTTTCAGCCTTAAGAAAAAGAAATAAATAAATAACAAGGGCACTTCATGTAGATTAAATGTTTAAGAAATGAAACCAAGTGGTCCTCCATTTGGTATCACTGCAGTTCACAAGGTACAACCAGACCATGTGGGAACTATAGCCAGAAGGGATTTGGCTGCCTCTAGCCCCTATTTCTCTCTTAAGATACAAGAAATTCTCTTAATAGTATTTGACAGTAAAAAAAAAGAAAAAAACACTGGAACTCTAATGGGCTCGAATTCTCACTATATACAATATCACTTTGCACCAATTTGTGACTTTCAACTGTGGTTGATTTTCATTCATATGCATCAATGTAATGGCCTGGATGTTTTAAAAGCTTTGATGATTGCAAATTCAACTGGCACCACTTTATCATAAAGGCTGCTGTAACTGAATGGGATCTGTCAGTTGGTCCGAGATTTCAAAGCTGAGGTAGCACTGAACAAAGAAAAGGAGAAGACATGGTCCCTGCCCCAGATGCTCACACACTATCTGTAAGGAGGAGCCAGAACATGGAAGGTGGAGGCCCAAGTGGCAAGCTCAGGGCCAGGTTGACACTGAGGCACACAGGAGTGGCAGGAGCTCAGCAAGCACACAGGTCAGGAAAGGGCATTGGGCAAAGGGTCAGGCTGTGTACCTGCAGGGCTGCACAGAGGAGCATTCCAGCACATGGGGGAAAGGGGTTCAAGGGGACAGGGAGGAGGGAGGGCAGTGCCAGAGGGTTCAGGGCTGGTCCTGGTCATATGCACTACTCCCAGAGTTTGAGGCAGAAGGTACACAGACACACAGGCATTTTGGAACCTTGGTGGCTCTAAGGCATTGTGGGCTAAGGAAGAGAGACCTGAGAAAAGGAGACAGATGAGAATAAGAAAGTTGAGGGCCTGAAAAATAGTGTGGCTATGCAGACAGCAGACTGATCATGGACCTGAGAGGGAAGGAAAAGTCCCAAGACCCAGAGAACAACTGAGGGAGGTGAAAGGAGAGAATGGAGTGAAGGGTAGGAATTAAGTGTCCTCTCCAGGCCCTGAGCGACCAAGGTATGGGAGGACAGATGAAGGATGTGCACAGTAGGGCTGAGTCATGGGAGGGGCTGCATCAAGGGGAAATTCAAAGAAGATAGTCAAGATGGAGGGGTAGGAGAGGTGGGAGGAGGACCCACCACCTCTGGAGATCCAGGGATGCCACCTGAGATGGGCTTTGTGCATCAGGGAGGAGATGCAAGGAAAAGGGAGAACTCCCTGTGGGGAGGTGGAGCCTTCAGTGAAGAAGGACTAGGTGCCACTTCTCAGAAGATTGGTTAGGAGTTAAACACTAGAGGACAGCTACTCTGGCAAATGACACATAGACACTCTCTTCAGGTGTGACTTAGCCTCCAGGAAGTCTGAATAGCTCAGTCTCATCCTTCATGCCCCCACATCACCAGCTCTGTTCACCACCCTGGTCTTGATTCCATGAAATCTGCCCTGGCCTTGGCCACTTAATCTCTGTGCTCTTCAACACAGCCATTGCCACCACCTTCTCTTGAGGGGCTGAGGAAGAAGGGCCCAGGGAGGAAGCAAAAGACACAGGTTCAAGGCACAGCCACTTCACCAACACCTTCTCCACTCTACCCTGCCCCTCCCTGTCCCCTTGGTGTCTCATCTGTAAGATGGGAATAATAATAGAAGTTCCCACCTCCATGAGGATCGAGTACAACAATAAACTTGAAATAATTCTGAAAACAAGAGTCTAAAGCATTTTACAATTCAGAAGGATAGTTATGACACTAGATGAGTCAACTGACTGACAAGCACCTAACTCAGTCCTCCCATCACCCAGCACTGGCCATTCCATCTGCCAATCCTGACCTACACCCACAGTGGCTGGCGCTCCTGGCCAATGGTGACTCTCCAGGACTCAAAGGCTTTGCACCCACAGGTGAGCTACGGGCTGACCAAAAATCATTGAGGAATGTCCCCAAACCTTATGTCAGCTCTTTTTGTTATAATCATGAGAGAAATATGAGTATAAAGGGACAGGGTTGTTTCTATGAAAACTATGCTGGGTGCTTCAGAAAGAGAAAGTTGAGAAAGTGGCTTCTTTATAGAGGGTACAATCTGGAGTGCAAGCCAAGTGTCTTTAACTTTTAGACAGGCCATTGTGGGTGTGATTTATACAATAAACTTGAAGATCACCAACCAGAGCCTTGATCTTACATCCAAAGATTGGCAAATTAATATAAACAGATGTTTTCAGTTAAAGTTTTTAACTGACAATTTTAATTTCTTCTTACACAGTTTAGTTTGGGAAGTTTACTTTCTCCCTTGCTGCCTGTTTACTTGACTGCTAACCAGAGGCTGGTGGTTCAAACCCACCAGCCACTCCTCGGAAGGAAAGTTGGGCAATCTACTTCCATAATGATACTGCCTTGGAAACCCAAGGAGGGGTCACTATGACTTGGGTCCGACTCGACAGCACATAACAACAACAACAATACCAACTGTAGCTCTTCAGAAAACAAAAAACAAACTCACTGCCATCGAGTTGATTCTCATAGCGACCCCCTTTGGGTTTCTAAGGCAGTAAATCTTGATGGAAGTAGATGGCATAGTCTTCCTTTTGTGGAGTAGCTGGTGGGTTTGACCTGCCACTCTTCTGATTAGCAGTCAAATGTCTTAGGCACTACATGTCTTAGCCACCAGAGCTCCTTCTATAGCTCTTAGTGATTCTCCGAAGTTCTTAGTGATCTTCTGTAGCACTTAGTGATTCTCCATTTTAAACGTCTTTTCCAATTAACCCACCAGTACTGGTTCCACTACCCTGAAGAGGTGTTTGGTACTGGGACATCTGCACCCCTACTGAAAATGTTTCATTGCATTTCTTTATTATGGTAAAATATAAGGTAAAATTTACCACTTAAACCATTTGAAGTATACAATTCAAAGTCATTAAATATATTCACAATATTGTGCAACCATCACCACTATCTAATGCCAGAGCTTTGCTATCACTTTATAAAGAAATCCAACATCCATTAAGTCACTCCTCTGCCCCGCCCCTGGCAATCACTAATCTACTTTTCATCTCTATGAATTTGCCCATTCTGGATATTTCATATAAATGCAATCAGTACAATACGTTTTTGTGTCTGGCTTCTTTCATGGCATTTTATGCATTTTAAACACTAAGCAGACTTAGAATTACTGTTTTAAAGTCTTTTGTAAATTTCTCAGACATGGGCTTGCAGTCAAGCATGGCTAACCTTGCAGGCATCGGGGTTGTGCTGGCCAGGTTGCTCTGAGCCAAACCCCGGGTCCCTTGGGAACGTTTCCAGGCCTCTCAGAACACAGCCTCCAGCTGTGAGGTCTCCTCCTTCAGCTTCGTACAGCACCTCCCGGACCCCTCACCGGTCGCTAGGGGCAGCGGGCGCAGACGGCGGTACTGGAGGAAAGCTTTGTCGCTCCCGGATTCAGACTGAAGTGTCTTCCCCACAGGACTTCCAATTTACTTGTCCTCAGGAGAGTTTGTGCAACCCGAAGAGCTCCAGGAAACTTGGAGGGGCCATCCCCACCATCTTCATAAAGACTCGAAGGCCACTGGAAGGCGCCGGGAAAAGCAATTCATCAGCGTTTGAGAGTCCCGGAAGGGCGCACTGCGGCATAGGGTTCTCTGTCCGTGAAGTGCCTAGGCGTTCAGGTTTATAAATGGAGCGGTGTCCTCCCCCTTCAACACAAGACCACTCTCTTACCCCACCCTCACCTCCACTCCTGTGATCTAAGCTCTCCCGACCCCGCCCTTGCGTGAGCCGGGTAAACCCAGCGCAGGGCTCGGACAAGGCGCAGGGACTGCAGAGCGCGCCGGTGATTAACCCTGGAGACCCCGTTGCTCCTTTCCTGGAAGACAACGCCTGAACGAGACTCTGAACTTACAGTCAAAGGTTAAAACATTACAGCAGCAGTTTAAGGGCACTGGCGGAAAAGATTTTTACAATGAGATCCATTCTTCAATAAACTCAAGCAAAGCGCTGCGGGCCGCAGGTACCTCAGAATTCTCCGCCCCTCAATTCCCGCCGCACAGAAACGCGGTAGACAAGTGGAGATACCAGCTCCCGAGCCACCGCCGACGCAGATGTCCCCCCAACACACACCCGCCCAGAAGCTGTCCTCCCGCCCAGAGGGGGACTCCGGGCTGGTCTGCGCCGCAATAAGAGGGACGCCCGACCACTCTCCGGGTTGCGCTAGCTTCGACCACGCCTCTCGCGCCCCAGAGATGGAGTCCGCTCTCATCCGTCCCACGTACCTCTTCCGCACCGGCTTTTTTCTCTTTTTCACTGCGTAGGAACCTCCGGTAGACATCATGGTTCCCCTAGGCCGGCCGCCTGGCCCTACGGGACGCACGAAGGGGCGTGGGACCGGCCTCTGTCGACGCGTGGAAGGTGTGGCCACCACCTCCCCGAAGGCTGCAGCTTCGGTCTCGGATCCACGGACCGGGGAACCCTAGCCCGGTGTTCCCGTTGCCGCTCCCCTGCCGTCTGGGCGAGCCTGCAGCTGCAGCCTTCTCCCAGTCGAGACAGAGCAGGCCCAGCCACCCGCGAGGCGCCGCCCCCTGCGCCTCCCCGGCAGCGCGGGCTGTTGGACACCTTGTGAAGGCAGCGCGGGGTCTGCACTTGACCCTTTCGTGACGCAAAGGCGCAGCAGACGGCAGCTGGGGGAAAGGTCAGGTCCTCCTAGCTCAACCGGGCACGTGACGCACGTTGGCGAGGATCGAGGCAGTGTAAGGATCTATACTCAAGATCTGGTGGGTTTCCCCCTGAGGGATTCCAGGTCTGTTAGTTTTATCTTAGGGGTCTTCTCGGTCCAGAACAATACCGAGTTCCTCATCTGTAGGCATGTGCGACCCTCGCAAGTAGCGTCTCTGACCCACTGGGCTAATTTGGAAAGCCTTGGCATACCGAAACACCCCCCATCCCCTGAAGGAGTCGTGGAGAAGTCCGCAAGGCCCTTCCACCAGTCTGTCTGTCTTTCAACCAAATGTCCAGACTCCACAGACTCGGATTCCCTGTAGCTTCTCTGCGGGAAGGACGGTCTGCAGGCGTCAGAGTGAAGCGTCCGCGTGGCGCAAACGAACGAAGAGACTATTTGAATGTACTAAGAGGGTGTAGGCGCGGACCGAGGGATCTTGAGCGGCATAAGCGGAGGGACCAATCCTCCCCACTCCCTCTGCTCTAGGCTAAGGTGCAGGGCCGCCTCCAGCTGGTACGTCTGCGCTGGCTGAGTCTTTCTGCAGAGTTGATTCCAACTCCGCCTCAATACCCACTGAGATTGAACGGAGGACGCTCGAGGAAGGAAATAAATGCCCGCGGTGGGTGCGATGCATAAATCTGTGTTTTTGAGCCTCTGTGTACACATAGTTCTGCTGTGTGCGTGCATGGGTGTGAAATACTTAAGATGTTTGGGGAACGAGGTGTAGTTCTATAAATAATAGAGATACCTCTGGGTCTTTCCACACCCAGGGGTGGTAGGTAAGATTCGGTCCTGCCCTGCAGGGTGGGACTTCCTTGTTTTCCAAGTAGCCTGGCTTGTTTAGATCAGCTCAGCGCCCAGACTTTTAATCTGAAATTGCTCACCATGGCATAAAAATGTGAGAAAAAAAAAAAAGGATTTTATTTTCATTTCGCTAAGACACTTGCCTGCTAACCAGACGGCTGGCGGTTCAAACCCACCAGCCACTCCTCGGAAGGAAGGTTGGGCAATCCTACTTCCGTAGTGACACTGCCTCGGAAACCCAAGGAGGGGTCGCTATGAGTCGGGGCCGACTCGACGGCACATAACAACAACAACAACAAACATAGTACCAAACCAGTGACAACATTACGGCTGGTGTCCACCTAGTTGGTGTCACCCGCACCCCCACCCCTCCGTGGACCTTCTCCAGTACCAGACCATACAGAATTCTTGGTAATGTTTACTATCAATTTCAATCATAGAATAACATGTGATAAATATAGTTATAAACTGCTTAAATTTGATATTTCTTAGATTATATGAATAGTAACCACACAATTGTTTTGCAAAATCTTTCTACGTTGAATCTTTTTTTTCCTTTCTACGTTGAATTATTGGCGCTCTGGTGGCATAGTGCCTAAGGCATTTGTCTGTTAACCAGAAGGCTGGTGGTTCAAACCCACCAGCCACTCCTTGGAAGGAAGATTGGGCAATCTACTTCCGTAGAGATACTGCCTCAGAAACCGAAGGAGGGGTCGCTATGAGTTGGATCCGACTTGATGGCTGTGAGAGTGAGACGTTGAATTATAACATCATTACTGATTGGAAGCCTTTCTTGATTTCTCTCCCTTTCCTTTAATTACTACTTCATTCTCAAAAAATTATTAATACAGATTAACAATTACCATAAGATTGTAGCTAACACACCAGAAAATCTGACAAAAGTAATGACTGTAAAAACTGGAAGCAAGGAAAACAACAGCATGTGCTTGTAGAGCATGCAGACAGAGCCATGATTCCAATCTTCATTGTAACTGGGTGAGACCACTATGCCCAACCCATTGCAGTGGGTGGGTTCCGACTCATAGCAACACCAGAGTACAGAGTAGAGCAGCCCCACATGTTTTCCAAGAATACCGCATGGTATTCTTTAGGGAAGCAGACTGCCACATCTTTCTCCCATGGAGTGGCTGATGGGTTTGAATCACTGACCTTTCAGTTAGCAGATAAGTGTTTAACAACTTTGCCACCAGGGCTACTTGATAAATGTGGTAAACTAAAAACCCACTTCCACTGAGTCAGTTCTGACTCATAGCGACCCCATAGGGTGCCCAAGGCTATAAACCTTTACGGAAGCAGACTGCCTCATCTTTCTCCCATGGAGCAGCTGGTGGGTTTGAAATACCAACCTTTGTGTTAGCAGCCCAATGACTTACCCACAGTGCCACCAGTGCACCTGATAACAGAAAATAATCAAGGACACTTTTTAAAACGCCAATGCTGAAATACACATGAATCTAGATTATTTGGAAAGCACAGTAAGCATCTAATATTTTCATATGATCACCAGGTTCACACTTTATTTTAAAGTTATGAAGAGTAATGGAAGACAAAAATGTTATAACGTTTTACTAAAAGATGTAGTAGCAATTCTGAGTTTTGCACATGCCTTTTAGCCATAACACTGTTGCACAACTCTAAACAGCAAGGGCCAAATTTCTCAAACATGTCCTTAAACTCTGAACTGCAATGGAGGAAGTTTGAGGGAACTGAGGAGGTAGAGGTTGGCAAGAAAGAAGCCCCCCCCCCGCCCCCACACCTCCTCAGGACAGCAGTGCCAGTGCAGCCCCTTCTAAGACAGAGCTGGAGATACTCCTAACAAGGCAGGGAAAGTCATGAGCCCTTGAAGACCCACACTCAGTCTCCCTAAGTTCACCTCTCTTTTGCTCCTTCTTCCCTTTTCTCATCAATAACCAAAAAGGATAATGACAACACAATCTGCAAAGACATTTCAGAGTCTCTGCAAAAGACAGTAACCACAAGTCTAGGGCAAACTTGGCTTCCAGATCACAATTTGCCAGTGAGACTGTGAGTGGACCCCTCTCAGTTTCCCTGTCTTTAAATTGAGCTGTGCCAACAAGTTGATCTCCAATTCCTTTAAAACCTCTTTTCTCCTCCCTTTAAATTCTGCTTTGTGATGTTTCCATTCTAAAGCCACTGCCTTCAAATGTTTCACAATCTCCCTCCTGCCATATTGCCACAAACCACATGGTTTCTCTGCTTACTCCTTGAAAACAGATAACCAAGATAAAGTAAATAGCTAACCAAGTTCCTTTCTTTGGACTTTTGTAACAAAGAAAAATCTTAGTAATAGTTAATTAGAGAAGGGGTGTATGTCTCTCAAATGAACCAGGATGCATGCTTTATTTTAGGATTAGGTTATTGTACGGCCTTGAGTGTGTCCCTTTGGTCTGAAACTCTGTAGTGTTCATTTTTCATTGAGGGCATCAATGACTTGGGGTCCAGCCTACTTGGAAGAAAATGGTCATTGTTTTAGGCCACGCTGGCCTTTTCCTGAGGTCCTCAATGAGGTGATGAATGAGAGAGACAAATTTGGTTTCAATCCAGCTAATCTGAAAGCAGGAGATATGGAGGCATAGTGCCGAAGGCATTTGACTGCTAACCAGAAGGCTGGCTGTTCAAACCCACCAGCCACTCCTTGGAAGGAAGATGGGGCAATCTACTTCCGTAGTGATACTGTCTCGAAAACCCAAGGAGGGGTCACTATGAGTCGTATCCAACTTGATGGCAGTGAGTGATAGTGGTGAATCTGAAAGCAGAGAGCCAACAGCTAGGAAGCTTTACTGAAATTTACAAGATGCCCTCACTCTCCGTGGCCAGGGACATGGAAGCACCTACAATCAGGCCATCATGTACCTTTTTGAACTGCAAAGTTGAGATTCTTTGCCCCATGACAAAGTTGATAGGGTCATCAAACAGTAGGATTCTGGAAAGTGGGATGGGGGTAACCTGGAGAATCCAGAGACTCCTGGACTCCTTCCCAACTTCTCTTTCTGTGCCTGCTTCTGATGACAGTTCTTACTTCCTCTCCAACCCACAATACACTTCATCAAGGTTGTAGCTGGGGAACAGAGTGGCATTCTGAGGGAGTGTGTCACTGTCCTGCTGCCTTTGCTCTTTGTTCTCAGTGCTTGGACGCAGAAAGGAGGCCAGGACAGATACCATTGACTAAAGGTCTAGAGACAAGGGTGGTAGTAAAGGATCCTTGGCATTGGTTGCCAGCCAGAATAAATCAACAGACATCAATTTATTCAGCATTAGAGAGAGAAATATCAGCAGAGTGTACTCCAGCCTGGCAAGCAGGAGCCTGTGACTGTCTAGTCTCCACGGCCACCCCCAGGATCATTGCCTCTACCACAAAACATGAGTGTCAGGGCCTTGCCCTTCCCATTACTCTTTTCAGGCAGGTTGATACCATTAACAGCCCTGTCAATAGCCCCTCCCCTCCATGCCCTTTGCCCTTGCAGGGTCTTCCCTCCCTGACTCAGGCTAGACCACATTGCTTGTTTCACTAGTGGGATGTGAACAAATAAGTCTGAAGCAGAGACCTGGCGTGATTCTGTTTCTACTCTGTCTCATGTGACTGAGCTTTCTCTCTCTTGGGCCCCTGCCTATTCACAGGAGCAAGCATGGAATGTGAGAAACACATGTGGAGAGCTACACCCTTAGCCAAGACAGACACACATAATGAGAGCAAGAGCGAGAGAGAGAGAGAGAGATGATAGACAGAGAGACAAAAAGAGACAGAGAAAGAGCAAGAGATAGAGACAGAC